AACGTGACGATGATCAGTGAAAAGTGATGATGAACTAATACAATTTAAATCATTAATATCAATAAAAATGGACACATTGGCACGTCGAAGAACAGGCATTACAATGGATGATGTCAGCATTTCGAAAAATACCTATTCAATTGTTAACATCGAGAAAAATGTTTGAACGAGAGTAAATGTATGTAAACTAACCATTCGCATTGAAAGAGGAGACTTTGGTATAAGTGAACAAGTATTGAAGTCACTGTTACCTACTTTTACATGTAATTGATGTAATGTGGTGGAGAGTGGTGGTGTTGACATAAGACGAACTAACATATCCATCGTTGACACAACAATACGCAAATAGGTAAGAGAAACTATTGCAGTAGTAAAGAACCAACGTGTCCCATAATAATTCATGCCTAAGTCGAGAGATCGAAGTGCAGGTAGATGAATAAGAATAACATTTTCGATTAATGCTTCAATGTCACCAATTGGGTATTCGAATTTAAAGGAATAACCATCCTGAAAAAAAAGGATATAAAAATGTCGTTGAATTCTGTATGAATCAAAACGAATGCTAATTGAATTGATTTTAGGATTTAAAATAGTTGTTCTTTGATCAATAAATGTGAATCGTCAATGTGAAATTTCTATTCAAATAATCTCTTCAACAATAACTAACATATCTTTTGCAAATTTACGGATTCAAAAAAAATTTCCTCAAACAATCTGTTGTAACCTGTGGAATCTTCACGATCACAAGGAAATTCTCATTCAATTTCATATTGTTGTTGATAGACTACTATTTTGTTCAACATTTTATCTCACAAAAATTTCCAATATTAATAGCCAGCTCTTATTCTTCTCTTAAAATCTTCATGTAGTTAAATCAAGTACATTCATAGAGGATGAGAGTATGGTCAACAGCAAGAACACATTCGATGACACTAATAAAAATTGGTCCATTAGAAGTTTCAAGCAATCTATCATCAAGAACAATGAATTCAGCTAGTACATTCTTGACTTTCAGCTTTCAATTTTCGAGCAACATTATTCCATTTGTTCTTTATCAAACTATATTTTCTTTCCTTTATGGAGAGTTCAAATTATTTGGTAGAATTATTTTCGAATGAACTTTTCATATCAAATGAAAAAATTTTTGTATACTAGCATCTCAATGAATGATGACCGACTATGACATTTCTATAGCAGCATTCAGTTTTTAAATGACATAGATGACTCAGGTACATATGTATGTGTCTGTGGTATAGGTGTTTAATGCTTACTGAAAAAATTTATCCGACGACTAAGACATTACTTGATCGATTGCTTGCGGAACATCATGATTTCCCAGTACGCTCGGTCACCACATTATGGCGCCAGATGCATCAGCTTGGATTTTCGTATAAAGCAACTACAAAAAGTCCTGTGCTTCTCGATTGAGTACATTTTGTCGCTCAACGCGCGTCTTACTTTCGTCACCTCGACGAACTCCGTGCTGCAGGTGCTCTTATATATTATCATGACGAGACATGGCTAGGTGCTGGGAGGAGAAACGTAATATTTGGGTTGATGACCAAGGAAAAGGTCGGCTGCGCAAACAGGATGGACAGGGAAAGCGCATTGCTATTTCGGCAATGATGGGATTGGAAGGATTCGTTGAACCGATTGATATTTCGCGGTGCGACAAGGATCATGCTATGAACAGTGAACGATTTCACAAGTGGATAGAAGATGCCGTTTCTCGTCTTCGGATTAAACATGGTTCTGGTCAACCTATTACCATAATAATAGACAATGCACCGTGGCACAAGGTATTATGTGATGATGCCAAACCAGCACAGCGTGCTTGGACAAAATATAAACTCCAACAATGGCTCACTGGAAAGTGTATTGCATGGGATACCAAAATGTCCAAGGCGGAGTTGCTCGAACTTGCATTGTCAAATG